GGGGGGGGGGGGGGGGGAGAAATCCAGACAGACAGACACAGAGAGATACAGAAAGATACAGAAAGATACAGGAGGAGGGACAGGGAAGACAGTAAAGACGGCCTGACTGCCACGCCATGCCACGCCATGCAGGCGTGCGCAGCACCACCCGCTCTCTCACTCATCCATCCATCCACCCACCCACGCCATTCCATCCATTACACACACACACACACACACACACAACAGAGACAGACAGACTCACACACCAAGACAGCAGCGGTGGTCAATCCACTGCCTGCCCTTCTAATTAGGCTGGATGGCTGACGTGGGATGGGATGGCGGGTGTCGGCTGCGTGCGTGCGTCGCGTGCGGTTGTACTGTAGAAGTGGTGGTGGCGCTTACACTTACAGGGAAGGAAGGGGAGGGGGAGAGATAACCGACCGACTGACTGTCTGACTGACTGACTGACTGACTGCCTGATTGCCTGATTGCCTGACTGGCTATACCATGTTGTTATGCAGTGCCGTGCTTTGTGAGTGACGATGGTCAGGCCTGCCTGGATACACACAGACGTCTGCTGGTGCCGTGCCGTGCCGTGTGATACGCACGATGGATGGTGTTTGTATGCCTGCCTGCCTGGATGGATGGTGTGTTGGCCTGGATGCGATCGATGCCCGCCCGCAAGGATGGATTGGATGGAGTGTCGTGTTAGTTTTTCTTTGTGGTGGATCTCGGTGCAAATGGACTCAACAGCACAGACTACTAAAGCACTTGCTTGGCGCCTGCTTATCCGAGCATCTCAAACCGTCCATCCATCAGGCGCACCGCGAGCTTAAAGATGCTTGCGAGCTGATAATTGCAGGAGCTCAGCTGTCCCACCCTTCCCCAGCAAGTGCAGCCAGCCTCACGGAGGCGCTATCCCTCAGGCACTGACATCTGACAAAGGCGACAGCACAGCGAGCAAGCTACACCTCGGGTCACCGACGGTCCGTCCCGACGGCCAAGCACACGTGTGTTCGGCTCCCTGGACCACCGCAGCCATCGTGTGTCTAGGCGGCAGGGCCCCGTGTGCTGTTTGCCATGATTCGGCGTCAGTCCCATCGATGGGAGTTCGAGGCCTCCACTCACTTCTTCCTCATCCGGCCGCGGGCCTACTTCTCCAGTCGGCAGGCGGCAGAGCTCTCGTCCTCCCCCTCCACCCCGCACGACAACTCTCTCGTCATCGACCGCCGCACCAGGAGCATCACCACCGTCCCGTCCAACGCGCAGCTCATGCAGCAGCTGATGCAGCGGCCGGCAAGGCAGGGCGGCGAGCGGGACAAGTGGGTCGAGAGGAGGGAGTTCGACGCGCTACTCGGCGTCGTCACGATCGAGAATGCCGCTTACCTGGTGCTGGTGACTGACAGTACCAAGATCTGTTCCATGCCGTCGGTGGGCGGGGCGTCCAAGGACAACAAGGACATCTACACCATCAAGGCGGCCGAGTGCATCCCCTATCGGCCGTGTCCCCCCGGCATGCCACCCGGCGCACCATCGGGTCCCGCGGCGCCGGCGTCGAGCGGCCCAGGCGGTCTCAAGGGCGGGGATCATGCCAAGTATGTGTCCAACATCGAGAAGCTGCTCAGCTCGGGCTTCTACTACTCGTATGACTATGATCTCACCCACACACTGCAGCGAAAGAGGAACCAAGAGTAAGCAAGCTGATTGCGGGCGGGGGAGATCTGCTGTGTGTTGTGTGGCTTCTCATGTGCTGTGTGTTGTGTCAGGCTGTCGTCTGCTGAGAGTGCCCCATTAGTGGAGATAGCAGACGAGCGGTTCTTCTGGAACCGGTGGCTGTGCCAGCCCTTCCTCGACAGCAAAGTCGCCCCCTACTGGCTCGTACCAATCGTGCAAGGTGACTACCCCACCTAAACTAAACACACACACTCCCGTAAAGGGAAGGGGCTATGCACTGACTGCACTTGATTGTATGTATGGTTGATGGTATGTATGGTGGGTTCGTGCGTGCAGGTCACGTGAAGATGGCGAGCCTTGAGGAGGGCGGCAACCGGCTGGATCTGATTCTCATCAGCCGGCGGTCGTGCAGGCGGGGCGGCACGCGCTACAACGCCAGGGGCATCGACGACGAGGGGCAGGTTGCCAACTTCGTCGAGACCGAGCAGCTCACCTATATCAACAGACAGAGGGTCCTCTCCTTCGTACAGATACGCGGATCGGTGCCCGTCTTCTGGGAGCAGACTGGTGCGTGCGGTGGGGTGGGAAGGAACCAACAGGCAGGGCAGGAGATGAGGGAGGCTTGGCTTGTCGCACTCTGTGTCTGTCTGCCAACCGGGTGGGGTGATGTTGATGTGGTGTGTCCACCAGGTTTGGCGGCCAACACGACAGTGACCCGGCCGCCGTATTTCACGTACAAGGCGTGCAAGCGTCACCAGGACGAGATCATCCACCACTACGGCGAGATCATGTACGTCGACCTACTCAGCGGCAACAAACTGCAGGAGACCCGCATCACCGAGGCCCTCAACAAGCAGCTCTCACACCTCTGGTGCCCACGGCCGGAGGACGGACGGCCGCCTGACGCTCCCCCCATCCCGCAGGGCGAGGCCGGCAACCCTGGGGGCCTCGAGGCCAAGTACAAGAAGCTCCTCTCCTACACACACTTCGATTTCCACCAAGAGGTCAGTCAGTCAGCTCATGAGACATACAGACAGCACAGAGAGAGGGATAGATGTGAGGTGTGTGGGCGTGTGTGTGTAGGTGAAGGATCTGGGGTTTGAGCTGGCGCTGCATTCTCTGATCCACTCGAAGCTGACGCCCTTCTTGTCACGGTCGGGCTTATACGACTCTGACGACCCCTCCAAGTGGCAGACGGGCGTCATCAGGACCAACTGCCTCGATTGCCTCGACAGAACCAACGCCGTCCAGTGGTACGTTCTCGCCATCCATCCATCCGCATACGCACACACGCTTCCACGTGTGATGAGGATGGCTTGGTCTGTTTGCTTGCGTGTGTGTGTGTTGGTGTGTTGGCTTGAAGGTACATCACCTGGTCGATGCTGGCGCAGCATCTCATGCCCATCCCCGCCCTCCAGGTCTTCGTCGCCGAGGAGACGCCTGCCGGCTCGCAGCAGCAGCAACAGCCGATGGTGAGCCAAGTGAAACGACCGACCAGCTGGCCACGGCAAACACAATGGCCATTGATTGCATGTGTGTGGGTGCTGTCTGTGTCACATCAGGCGCAGCCGCAGCTGGTAGGGACTGCGATGGAGAAGATGGAGAAGGCGGCGGACGGCCTGCGGTCCAACTCACAGATGCAGCTGGAGCCTGAGAGGGTACCGCCACTCAAAGCAATGCTCTCGTCCATGTGGGCTGAACAGGTGAGCTAGCTGCGCAGAAGAATGCCGTTGTTGTGTGGTCGAGGGTCGTTCCCGTCTCCCCCCATTTCGTGTGTGTGTGTGTGTGTGTAGGGCGACGCGATATCAGTCCAGTATACGGGGACCGGGTCCATCCTGTCGTCTGTCATCAAGCAGGGCAAGTCGTCCATCACAACCAACATAGAGCACGCACTCCGCTCCATCGGCAGGTACAGACAGCCTGGCACATGAAGAAGACCGACCGACACACCCACACCTCCCTCCCTCTCTCTCTCTCTCTCACCCATTGCCATCATTGCCATCATGATGCACTCACGCAGGTTCTACCAGAACAACTTCGAGGACAGCCTGCGTCAGGAGTGCATCGACCTCCTGCTCGGCCGCCACCGCATCTCCGGCACCCGCACCACCAGATTCGAAGACCCCTCCATGGCGGCATACCCCCGTGACGCCTCAGCCCCGCCCCTCCCCACCCGCCCCAACACATCCGAGGGCACCTCCCCCATTGCCCATGGCGACGTGCTGCGCGAGCGGCACGCCACCGACCACGACGTCATCCCTGAGGACAACGCGCCCACTGATGGCACCCAGCACAAGGCCGCCATCAGGAGGATGTCCACCACGGGCGGCGAAGGGGCCCAGGGCCGGTCCAATGCGCCCAAGCCAGCCTCCTCCTCTGCACACCACCACCCCGGCCACCATCCTCACCACCACCATCACACGTCACGGGGTGGCGGGGCGTCGTCAGGGCCGCTGTCGGGCGGGATGTCTGTGAAGGACCCCAACCGGCGTCGGCTGACGGTTTGGGTGGGGAGCTGGAACCTGGGGGGCAAGAGGCTGGACGGCACCATTCGGCACTGGCTAGAGCCCGACCCCGGCTGGCAGCCCTGGTGGGAGAGCCTCAAGGACAAGTATGGCGTCTCCGCCCCGCCAATCCGCGAGGACGACCAGGCGGAACACCTCCCGGACATATTCATTCTCTGCATACAGGAACTGGTAGGCACCGCACCCCGCCGGCCGGGCAAACAAGACAGACACCACCGCCAGTAGTCTCTTGTTGATGGATGTGTGTCTGTGGTCAGATTGAGTTGTCCGGCTACAATGTGATCATGGGCAGTCCAGACAAGGACCGGGAGGAGGGCATCGAGAGCGCCGTGGACTTCATCCTGCGCAACCTGGGGCTGCGCGGTGCGTCAGGTCAGCCGCTGTATCGGCGCGTGCAGAGTGTGGCGATGGTGGGCCTCTACTCGGTCATGTTCGCCAAAGACGCGCTCAGGGAGGTCCTCTCGGGCTTCGACGTCGGCTCCGTCAAAGTGGGCTTCAAGGGCAGCACCGGCAACAAGGTAAGGTACACCCATGGTGTGGCCACACACACGCAAACCAAGAATCGGCCAGCGTGTGTGTGTATGTGGGTGGGTGTGATTTGATTGCCCTCCTATTGTCCAGGGTGCCGTGTGTATCCGATTTGTGGTCGGCGCCACTCCTGTCTGTGTCGTCAATGTGCACCTCTCCCCTGGTCAGCCACCACGCAGCCCAACACAACACAGCACAACACAGCGTGTTGTGTGTGCAGGTCAGGAGAAGGTCGACGAGCGGTGTCGTGAGTTCCGTAGCATCCTGCAGCAGGCCTTCCAGAGCGTGCGGTCGCACTACTCCATCCTGGAGCACGACGCCATCATCGTGGCCGGCGACTTCAACTTCCGCGTCAACATGGACAAGGACGACATTCGCAGGAACATGACAACCGAACAGGGCATTCAGAAATGCATCTTGTAAGCTAAGTCCTATGAATGAATGGCATGGCAACACTGGCCGAATGGCTGGCTGGCATAGTCCTTGAGCACTGGTCTCTCTCTGCGTTGCGTGTGTGTGGTCAGCCACGATCAGCTGACCCGTGCGCGCAAGGCTGATGAGTATTTTCGTTACTTCCGGGAGCCGCCGCTGCGGTTCGGCCCCACCTACAAGTACATCGCATGCAGCACCGAATTCGACTGGAAGAGGGCACCCGCATGGTACAGCCCACACACACTCACACACGCACACCCTCACCCAAACCACCCATCCCTTGTCCTGTCGTCATGATCCATCCGTCCATCCATCCGCTCACCGCACCATTGTCTGCTTGCAGGTGTGACAGGATTCTGTTCACGGGCAAGCAGATCCGCTCCCTCACCTACTGCCGCCACGACCTCTCCACCAGCGACCACCGACCCATCTCGGCGCTGTTCGAGGTGGTGGTCCGCCTGCGGCCGCCACAGTACCGGCCGCAGAACGGCGTGCCCTACCACCACCCGCCCAACCACTCGTACCGATACGAGATACCCACCACGGCGGGGTTGAGGGTGGAGGGGGAGTCGCCCAGGCTGACCGTGCACCCGCCGCTGAGGGCGCCAGACGTCGCATACAACAACGATGGACGGGTAAGGGCAAGGAGAGGAGAGAGGATGGGATGCCTGTCTATCGAGCTAACAGGGGGTATTCTTATGCCTTGTCCGTGTGTGTGCTGCAGGAGTCCTCGTCTGGGCCGCGGTCTGTCCGGTCTGCTGAAGAGGCCAGGAGGTGCGTGAGATCCTCAGACCAACACATGAACAAACAGCCGTGACTTGCTGACCGCTTCGTGTGTGCGCGCGTGGCTTCCTTTCTTCCTTCAGTGAGTCTGAGAGCGTCGCCGAGTCGTTCACTCTGATCGACCTGTCCGACAGCCAGTCCCCCTCCCTCTGCCCCCAGCCCCCGCCCCCATACCCATCCAGCGCACCATCCTCACCCCTACCATCAGTCATCCACACACCTTCAGAGCCGCCGCTCTCCTCGCCCGAGTGGACGGCATCTGAGGCACCATCGCCATCAGTCTCTCCGGACCCCAGGCCACCGCATGACGAGTCGAAGACGCAGCAAGCTTCGTCGTCATCAGGACCACCGCCACGACCAAAAGCGGCGAGCAGTGGCAAAGAGCCGGCTGCCAACCTCACGTCGCCGGGGCTGGGCAGAGGTGAGGAAGGAAGGCGACACGGGGAAGGTTTCGTCGGCCATGGAGGCTTACCTGCGCACTCGTGTGTCCACTCAGGTGGCAAAGGCGGGCTCTCGGCGCCGCCAGAATGGGCCATCGTCAACACATCCGGATCACAGGTGCGATGCACACCTGATAAAGAGAAGAAATGCCCTCATTGACCATTGTCGCTGTCTTCCGTCATGTGTGTGCAGCGGTCCGTGGCGTCCGGCTCATCCGGGGAGTTCTCATCCGAGTACGAGCTGCTGGCGGCCCCGTCGCGCCTCCCGTCGTCCAACTCGCCCTCACAAGGGGCCTCATCGCCGTCATCGTCTCTCAGGCCGCCCCCTCCCCCACCCCCACCCCCACCAGCCCAGCCGCAACCTCAGCCAGCGCCCCCTGCACCGGTGCGCCCATCGGCTGCGACGGCCAATCCGCCTGTCGCAGCGGTGAGGACCGTGCAGGGGCCACTGGCGCAGCAGAATGGGCCATTGGTCCCCGCACAGCCTGTGCCAGCGTCGGTGTTGGCGAAGCGAGAGGAGGGGCATTCGTCTCTTGTGGACTACCTTAGTTCATCACGTGAGCACGCAATACACTGATAGCACGTACACACAGAGTCTGCTGTATGTCGTTGGCGTTGGTGTGTGTTTCGCTGCGCAGTTGCGAGCTTGCCCGAAGATTTGTTGTCAGCCCGACCTCGCGAGCAAGGTGAGACGGCCGAGCAACACTCGGTCGTGGGACAGATGAAAGACACTGATCGACCGATCTGTCTGTGTTTTCGACGAACAGATTTGTTGTCTGGTTCCCCGTACCACCACCGCCACGTGAGCAACCCACTGTCGCCCCTGATGCTGGCAGCAGACAGCGTCCGCCCAACCTCAACCGTCAGTAGCCATCCCCCCGTGCCCCTTCCCCCCACACGCCCGTCCCCTCCCTCCTCCTTCCACCACTACATCGACAACATCCACGACAGTCGACTCATGGCCACGGCCGCGCCACCAAGTGCTGCGAGCGTCCCTCTCATGGGCTCCTCGCCGCCCGGCCAGTCTTTGTGGGCGGGCGGTGACGGGCGGGGTCGCGCCCCCTCTCCTGAGCCTGCAGTGTCGCATTCGATGGGCGACGCCAGCCTAGATGACGTCTTTGGTGCCGCTGCTGCTGCTTCTGCTTCTGTGATGGGTGGCGAGTCGGGTCAGAGGGATGGAGGTGACGTGAAGAAGCAGCATCAGCAGCAGCCGCCTCAGGACGATCTGATAGACGATTGGTGGATGCAGGATGGGGCCAAAGAGTGATGTGTGTATGTGTGTATGTGTGTGTGAGTTGTTAGTTGAGAGAGAGAGAGTGTGAGTGAGATGAGATGCGGATTTTTCGCGCCGTGTCTGTCTGTCTGTATTTGCCCTGCATGCTTGTGTGGTGTGGAAATTGCGCCTGCTGGTGTGGGTGGGGGAGAGATGGTGGGCGGACGGACGGATGGTGGGCGGATGGGATCATGGAGTGGGAATGGATGTGACGAGACTAGTCTCAGAAAGGCTGACGTGCGATGGACATCATGGCCGAGGCTGATCCATATGTGTGTGTAAAGCGCTTCATGCACTCATCTATGCAAAATCGTCATCGGCACGAATCACACACACAGAAGTAGGTCCTCCCCTCCTGAGTTATAGGGTATCTGTCATATCACCCGCGGCGCTTGACCTGCAATACAAATCTATCGCATTCGACATCGAATTGGTTCGAGCAGAGGCCGGTCAGGCTGTGCTGAGCCCGGAAGCGACACGCCACCTTTCTACCCACAGTGGTGTGACCAAAAAAGGTCACGGACGTCTCCTTGTGGCCCTGCCCGCAGGAAAAGCATACATATAGAGATCGGTGGTGGGCGTGTCTGACTGGCCAGCTGCCTTCCTTCCTTGTGTGTTACTCTGAGTTTGGTGGATGAGGCTACCACCGCCATGACGTTGCCATAGAACGCATCGAAGTCGGCATCCGTCACATCACCTGAAAGGCACACAAACTCGCAACCGAATGGCGATGAAATGGCGGCCCGATTTCATCTGGCTGGTACGTACCTGTGATATGGAAGGTCACCTTTTCAATGGCGGGCAGATGGGCCGCGTGTCGACCCAGCTCCAAGCCATTCCTCGCACCGGCTGTGGTCAGCGTGGCCGAAGGGATGCTGCGCAAGTCTAGTGTGAGGGTCCTGTCGGTCTTGGTCCTGGCGTAGTGGGACTGGAGGGCTCTGAGAAAGGGCACGATAGCGTCGGGCTCAGCCGGGGATGTCCGCGCTAGCACCGTGGTGAGCTTGCGCATGCAGGCCGCGATGTCGGCGGCCCTCTCCTGCTTCTCTGGCGTCGCCAAAGCACTCGACTCCAGCTCGAGGGTGTCGGCCTCTGGAAACGTGCCATCTGTGATACCACTAGCACCCGCTGCACAGGTGGCTGCTGCTGCGGTCCCTTCTTGGGCCGTCTCCTCACCCCCTGAGTATACGACTTGGCCCAAGTGAGCAGCGAGATGGCCGACAATCGCTCGCACCAGCGGCCTGCGGTGAGTGCAGCCCCAAGACACGAGCTCCGCAGCGATGCTGCACTGGTAGTCCGTGTCTAAGAAGGACTGGGGACTCGCGAGGGCATCAGGATGCATGACAGCACCACTGCACGCACACACCGCACAATGCGAGTAGGAAAGAAAGGTGCTACTACGCGGCCTTACGCGAGGTCAGCCACTTTCTCGATTCGGATGCGAGTCCCATCGTCGTTGCGCATGTCGTCACCAGGAAGAATGTCCATGCCCATATGGCAGAGCGTACGGTTGACACCCCGCCCCACCAGAGTGTCGCGCAATCGGTCGATATGGTGGGCCCGTGCCTGCCACACCTTGACTGGCTTAAGCGAACGGAGACTCGACAGAGAGTTGCTGGGTGAAAGAACACGGAGGACCTCCACCAGCTCTTCCCCTTCACCGTCCTCCTCAATTCCCCCAAGGTCGATTTCCTCGAGACTCTCACACCCGCTGATCCACGGCTTGACGGCCTCAGTGGACACAAAACCTCGGTCAATCGCGAGACTTGTGAGGTTGGGGGTGCACCAGCTGCGGCCAATGCGAAGAGGGGCAAACTCTACCGACAGGCCAACGACCGTTGTGAGCGCGGGCAGGTGGACGGGGGCGGAGGGGGCGGGGAGGGGCTCAGATGAGGGGGGCGGGTGGGGGATGCGAATGCTGTAGAGAAAGAAGAGCCTGAATTCCTCAAAGGACAACACTTCCAATGTGCCCTCGTCTGCCGACTGGCTGCGGTCATCATCTCGCCCTGCCGCGGCAGCAGCTGCCCCCTCCCCGCCCTTCCTCTCCTGTCGTTTCTTGTCTGCGATGGCCGCCCTGCCGAAGGCGTGACCTTCCACCACGGCCACCCAGGTCCCGCGGCACCAGCAGTCGCAGTCCTCGGGGTAGCGGTGCTTGATCTCTCGCACGTTTGCCGCCCTCTTGCCCCATCTGTGTGCCACGGCCAGCGGCATGGTCTCCCACATGCGCCGTGCGGTGTCGTTCTCACAGTCGATGACCAGGTTGGTGTAGTTGGCGGCCGACTGATGGAAGAGGGGCGTGCCGAGAGGCCGGCGGTGGCGCGTCAGCTCCCAGGGCTGCAGGTGGCCGAAGACCTCGGAGAGCTCATCACGGGACAGACGAATGCGAGCCTGGCATGGAAACGGGGAGGGCATCGATATGTGACGGACTCATACTATTCTCGCGCATTGCTGGCCCTTACTGGTGTTTGGTGGATGGGTGCATTGCCACTCTTATGAATCAAACGATACGATGGGCCGGCGACTGCCGGAGCCTACAACACCACCACAGCAATGCAGAATGGAGAGATCCCTGCGTCACGATGGCCGGGCACGTCACCCGCTGATCTCACCAGTGCCTCTGTGTGTTGAGGGCCCGCCGCAGCAGCAGCCTCCGTGGTCGGTGTGAGTGCATCCACAGCACCGGCCAGGCCGGGCTCTCCCTGCTCCAGCTGGGTGGTGAGTGCATTCAGCAGGGAGGCCATCGAGCCCAGCTGATGATTGAGCACCCATGCCTCAGGAGACGACGCCTGAAGATGAGATGAGCCGCACAAGACCACAGTGGACGGCCCTTCGGCGCCTTTTCTCAGTCAGTGAGTTTGACCCACCTGTGCAGCGATGCTGGCGGCGTCTTGCTCAAGAAGGCGCGACAACCGTGCTATGATCTATTCACACAACACACACCACCACGCGCGCACACAGCACTGTGCAGCCGAGGAAGCAGCAAGGAAATGGCGTCGTATGGCGTACGTACCCTATCCTGAATGGGCTGCAGGTGCACCAAGCTGTCCTTCACAGCCTGTGCATTCGCAACAAACTAAAGGGACGCCGAGCAACACACACAGCAGAGCAGTGAAGGCCCTTCTCCGTCTGGATTATCTCTTCTGTGGTCGTGTGTCATCCTCTGCCCCAGCTGCCTTGTGAGCCCTCAAGAGCCCTCCCGCTCATCGCACTCACCTGACTGACGTCCATGGCGGATCAGTCCACGTGTGCTGGCGACGGAAACCAGCCACAAGCTATCAGATCGCACAGGCGGCAGCAATCACTCTCCTGCGATGAGTCTAAATCCTCAAAATCGCAGGATGACACACACACGAAGACCATGACCAACAAACTCATGCCAGCCTCCCAACTCGCAACCGCTCACCGCATTCATGAGAATGCCTCAAGAGCGCAGACCTGCCGTGTACCACATCATGCTCTAACTCGACAGAGGCACGCATCCGTCGTCCCACACGTCATGAAAGGGGTGGCTGCGCTAGCGGTATATCGACGTCGCCTTAGACAGCTTCCTGCCCTTGACCTACAAACACGCTTCCACCTGTATTATGCCACAGTGGCGCCTGTCTACCTGTACGGTAGTGAGCTGTGGGCGGGCACCAACTGTGATGCTCTAGAGCGTCTCCATCGGCACTACTTGCTGTCATGTATGGGAGTCACTCGTCGTGTCTCTACTGAGGCCTTGCTGTGTGAGCTTGGTCGTTTTTCGGTGCTCTTCGAGGCGCGTTGTCGCCAGCTGTCCTTCTATATCCGCCTCCGCAATCGCAGAGCTGGCATCCTTGCAGAGAAGGCTTTTGCTGTTGCACAGCATGCGTATCGGTCTGCTCCGTCATTCCGGCGCATGCAGGGCAACGACGCTTACTTCTACATGCAAAAACACAACCCATTCACTCTGTTTGCACGCACATTCGATTTCATGGGCCAGCGTGTCCGGATTAGTCAGATTGGCCCGCTGAGTGCTATCGATATCAAACAGATGATCACGGCGCATACAAAGGCAGAGTTTGCTCGTATTTTGACCGAGCGATGGAATCGTGCTCGGTTGCCTGATATGCGTAACACTCCCTCACTTCCTCCGCCCCTCTCTCTCTCCGCCGAAGCGATATCCTTACTGCCTTGGCGCACATATGCATGTGGTCAGACAGCTGTTACTCGTAGGGCCCTCTTTCAGGCACGCAAGGAGCTGTTCGTGGCATCCTCTCTGTTCAATCATGCCTTTCTTGTAGCATTTCCTCGCCTACATCGTTCCTTTCCGTCTCCCTTACGCGACTGCCCGTGTGACATGGACTCGATTGTGTGTATGGCGCCATATGTGCCTGCTGCTGCGTATATGGATGTGGTGCAGCAAGGGCAAGACTGGCTCCATCGCCTCATTCAGCTGTTGCCGTGCTTTCCTTCCTACCTGTCACTGCCGTTTCGTAAGCGCCGTGTTCTGTTTCTTTTTGGATGGACGCATCCTCGGCCGGCCGCGAGAGGGCAGCGTCTGCCCGTTTTGCTCGCACAGAACTGACTTGCTCGTATCTGCCGTGAGCCTTACTGGGCAATCAATCACCCGCCCTCCCATTGAGGATGAGTCTCGTATTTTTGCATTCTGTCCATTGTATCGCTCTACTCGTGACACACTCCACACAGTTATCGCCCAGCATGGCGTGACTGCCCCTGACGCCTGTAGTTATCGTCGGTGGCGCAGGTCACATCCCATTGTGTTCACTTATTGTGTGCTGCAATTGGACAAACTGCCGGTGCTTTCTGCAGCGGCCGACTTTCTTCTGTCAGCACAGGCGACACGCACTAAGTGGCTTG